GCGGAAAGGAGAAAAAGCGGCGAAACTCCAAAACCAAAGTCCCAGAACCACCGCAAACTGGGACTTATTCAATTCATTAGCCGGCTGTTGGGAAAGTGTCGATAACATCGACGAAAAATGCGATTGGCTCATTTAACATCATCGCGCTAGCTCTATGAAAGCTGAGAGTTCGAGAGTCACCAAGAGACGTTTGTCTCCAGAAACACTCGAGCTGATACGCCAGTGTGGAATCGCACGAGCTGCAGGCATCCGCAAGGTAACATCTGAGCTTGCAAAACAATACAGACAGGCAATGAAAGAAAATCTTAAAGAGAGAAGAGCAGCAGTAATGGTCGAAGCTGCAGAGGCTGGGAAAAGCATTCGCAAAGCCCACCGAAGCTTCGCTAATTACAGGACAAAAATGATTGCCCTCCAGCCTATCACTTTCTTCGCGCAAGATTCCACTTTTAGCGGGAAGGACAAAAAGCCACTAAATTCAAAAAACGAGGTCCCAGAACCACCCCAAACTGGAACTTATTCAATTCATTAGTCGGCTGTTGGGATGATGCCGATATCATCTTCGAAAAATACGATCGGCTCATTCAACACCTTCACGTTATCGTTATGAAAGCTGAGAGTTCGAAGGTCGACGCCTCTGTCTCCGGAAATATTCGAACTGATACGCCGACGTGGAATAGAACGAGCTGCAGGCAACCGCGAACTAGCTTTCGAACTTGAGAAACAATGCAGGTAGGCCATAAAAGAAGATCTTAAAGAGAGAAGAGCAGCAGGTATGGTCGAAGTTGCGAAAGCTGGGAAAAGCACTCGCAAAGCCCACTGAGGTTTCGCCAATTATAAAACCAAGATGATTGGACTCCGACGCCCAGACGGAACAGTTACAGCGTCCAGAAAGGAAATGAAGAAAATCGTTCACGATTGCTACTCGGATCTCTTCGATGGCGACGTCCATCTTCCGTCATATGAAATAATAAAGGGGGACGGATATGTTGCACCACCGGTTGTCTCTTAAGAAATTCGACATGCCATTTCGCCGGTGAAAATCGAACAGCACCAGGTCCGGAGAAGATAAGACTAGAACACCTGCAAAACCTTCAGCCAGTTCTCGTAAACACACTGGCTCGGCTCTTCACACATTACCTGTCTGAATGCAGGGTTCCTATTCAATGGAAGACCAGCAAGATCGTGTTACTGTTCAAGAAGGGTGACCCACACGATATCGGCAACTATCGCCCAGTTTACTTACTATCTGTCGTCCACAAAATCCCACTCGAGTCATCATGAACAGGATTGACGGGGCACTGGACGAAGGACAGCCATGTGAGCAAGCAGGGTTTCGAAAAGGATTTAGTACGATGGACCACATTCACACGGCAGAACGACTCACTGAAGTATCACGAGAGTGCAAAAGACCGCTCTGTCTCACCTTTATCGATTTACAGGAGGCCTTTGACTCAGTTCAGGTAGAAGCAGTCTCGGAAGCCCTTAATAGTCAAAGAGTCCCTGTTCAATACATAGAGATTCTTCCTGAGCTGTACAAAAATTTCACGACCAAGGTATCACCATTCTACAACGATATTAACATCGACGTCAGAAGAGGAGTTAGGCAAGGCGATACCATCTCGCCGGAATTATTTACCGCGGCTCTCCAGAACGCCATGCGAACATTGGAATGGTTAATATGGGCGTGAAAATCGATGGGTGGCACTTACATCGTCTTCGCTTTGCTGATGACATCGTCCGTATAACACTAAACGTTAAAAGCGGAACGTATGCTTTCCGACTTTGATAAAGCCTGTGGAAAGATTGGTCTTCGACTAACTCTCACAAAAACGATGTTCATGAGGAACGCATTGGTTTCGTATGCCCCATTCACGCTCGAAGGAACAAATATCTATGAGGGCTCCAGTTATATATATCTGGGTCAGGGAATCAATATGGTAAACGACTTAGCTCCATACCTCAGCAGAAGTAAACGAGCGGCCTGGGGAGCTTTCAAGAGCATCGAGGGTATAACGAAGAGGACAAGGAACACCCGAACCCGTGCTTAGGTTTTCGACTCAACGGTTCCTCCTACGTTAAAGTATGCGTCAGAAACCTGGTCGCTGCGTAAAGAGGATGAAAAATCACTCAGCGTTATCGAGCGCGCAGTCGAAAGGACGATGCTAGAAGTATACCGTTCCACACAGGTAAGGGATGGGATCCGAAGCTTCGATCTGCCCCAGCGATCAAAAATCAAAGACGCCGTTCTGTACACCAAACAGTCGAAGATAAGGTAGGCTAGACACGCAGTGCGCATGAATGACAACCGATGGACGATAGCCGTTAGTGACTGGATTCCTCTGGATGTCAAACGTACTGCGGGAAGACCACCGACCCGATGGTTAGAGTTCTTCACAGACTTGAAGAAAGGTATGATGCTCAACGAGTCCTTAGAGCGAGCGGAACCCACAAGGCTGCTCTTGCATTCGACAGGGAAAAATGGAAGATTTACTGGCGTCCGCTCGAGTCACTCGACGATCAACGGGATTACAGGTGATACAGGTGATAGCTGAAACTTAGACTCATCCATTTAAGTAAGTAAGCCCTCAAAAACTCTCCTTCAAAGACATCCTCGTCACTGCTACACTGCAAATCTTGAACTATTGTTAATCCAAAATATTTTGGCTAATTAGGAACACTTCATCAGTTTTGATAAGGTGCAAGGGAACGTCCAAAGTCTGTTGTCACCATGTGGATTCATCATATAGGTGTGGTGCAATTACGCCATAGTATAAAATATATATTACGCCATATATATAAAATAGTACTAGGAGATTTACACTTTTTCACACAACACGTTTTTCATCAAATCTTCGTTCTCTTTCACACATTTATCATGTCAAAACAGCTTCCCAGCAACGTTCCTGTAATATCAAGTTAACAGTTGCGGATGCAATCAATAAGTTAACAGTGTTCATCACCTTTCGGCATTTATCTACGGCCTTCCATTTCTTCTTGCGGTTGTCGATTGCACGCATGCACAGGAGAAGCTGGTCACGACCATCGCTTTTCCATTTTTTTTTGGTGTCGTATTCCGTTTCTTGGTGTTTCTTCATTATGCGCTCCGCTGGAGAAATATAAACAGTGCTCACTGATCTAGTAGTTTCTGGATTATTAAATAAACACGTGGTTGGCCGAATAAAACTTATCACCGACCTAGTGTTTGCCCAATGATCCAAGAAACTATACTTTATCGAATCCGAGCTTACTCGAAAATTGGTTTGGAGATATATTACTACGTCTATTGATTTACCCGAATTATGTTTCAACTTCATTCAAGTGCTTTCTACGTGATATCAGTCAGTTAGTATGTGATCGTTTGAATAGTGTTTGTTTTTCCTAGTATTTTCTTCACACCGACTGATGATCACTTACGTTTTTACTAGTGAACACCGTATTACGAAACCAATGACAACCTGCACACTACTGTAGTGCAGTCTGCACCCATCCACAAAATGCCCAGAGGAGAAGCTAAGGGTAGTCTCCTTTTCTTTTCTGCCGTATGGTTTTTTCCCTTACCACTGTCAATCTGTTCGCTACCTCCTTTGCCTGCAACTTTAGTGCGGTTTTCCTTCTGTCCGGACTTCCTAATGTTTATTCGGTTACACTTATTTTCATTCGCTGGTGCCTGTTTACCACAGTAAAGCCACTATCATAATTCTGATCACTTCGTTTTTTTTTTCGCATCCGAATGAACCAAAATGAGCATGAAATCCATGTGGATGCTTTGTGCACATGAAAGACGCATGAAAATGCAATAGATATGGCTATCAGAACGTTTAGAAAGGAACGGAAACTTTTCAGATAAATTAAATATTGAAGGAAATGGTCATTTTTCATTCAAACCTTTGCAAACCCTTCAGAAGCTGACGGCAAGATCTTTGCAGGACGGATCGCAGTAAAATTTGGTGAAATGAATGCTTAACATTTTCTACGCTTATACTTTCTTTATTCCTTTTTTTTTACGAGGCAACACTGAGCCAATAAATTCATTTGGTTAATGAAAGGTCGTCGTTTTTTTCTCAGTGGGAAATTCATTATGTGCGGGCGGCTGTGTTCTCTGCTCGTTTGGTACATTGTCGCTGAAGTTGAATCCTATCATCATTGCGCGGTAGGACTTCCAAGTGGGTGAGTTGCGGTCACCGGCACGGCACGAATGAAATTACATTATTCGGTTTACAATCTTCATGAAAAATTGACGTAGAAACTAGCTTATGTGGCAAAATTAGGTGAATGAACTGTGAAATCACGTCAAAACAGGTAAAGGATAGAAAAAGAAGATATTCGACGTTTTTCAATCCCTGAGGGGTATATCCAACTTCGGCTAGTATAGTAGAAGCGATTGAGGGCATGATGGCCTACATTTGCGAAAACCTACTTCATTATTTTTTTATGAACTGGTATTGTTGACCTGATGCGAGGTGTTATAGCTGTCAGTGTTGTTGTTGTTGTTGTTGTTGTTGTTGTTGTTGTTGTTGTTGTTGTTGTTGTTGTTGTTAGTCGATGGCTGACGTTTTCGGCGATTTCATCTCCCTCAAAGCTGCGCTGTTACGACTGGAACTATCAAATGAATACTTTTATCTATTTATTCATCCATTTATCAGTGTTCTAGACGAAATTGACACCAATTTGCAGAACACCAACAGGGTTGGTGAGGCCGCAACGCAGAATTGAACTATCGATCCTGTGCAGATTGTAGACTACCCCTAACCACAACTCTACACGTGAAAATAAAAGATATATCAAGACTTTTCTTTTCCTACAACCATCACTTTCAAGCATTTGTGCTTATGCTTTTTCCCAACGTTTTTTTTTAGGATGTTATTTCTTTAATTCTTAACGCATGTTGAAATTTAACGTTCAAATAATTAGCTAGAACAGGACTCCGACCATTTTCACCATAATCGAACCATTTGTCTTTTCAGATAGATTACTTTTTCTTCTACTATTAATTTATAACTATGAAGGACGAATTCATCAAAAAAACTCACTATAACAACGACAATCCCTCTCAGGAAAAGGATAAAACGCAAGTGGATCTGTTCTACGCGTTTTCATGTTGTAACTGTGACAAAAGTGAGGAAATAATCTCGAGACTGAATAAATGTGGCATGGTAAGAAATTTTTGGCCACTTTTTACTGCATGGGATCGTTGTTGACTTTTTAATCTGATGAAAACATTCTTTCTATATCGTATGCGTTTCAGATTGTCGTACCAAGCACGTTTTTCCAGAACGTCGATCCGTCAAAGATTTCACTACCTCTTTGTGTTAAGGTTACGAGCTCATAAACAGAAATCTTCAATTTCACTACTGGTTCGCTACGGTGCGTACCAGGCGTTACATGTTAACAATATTCAGGTATCATCAACAAAGCCTGATGTGTTCACTCATTGCGGAATATGGGACTACTCAGCGCCAGAAGGAATAGTCTATGTACCTGGATGGGTTTGTTCGTTCACAGGAATTGCGTTCATAGCTTGGTTACCTTAAAGAATGTTAAGTGAATAAAAATTTCAAATTCTGAAAACTTTTCAAATGGAACTTTAAGCAATATGAGGGTGTGGTGATTGTGCTTCGTGATATTCTAGTGGTGATAAGATAAAAGTTGCAATTTCATTAATTTTTCCATTGCAGGTTATAAAGCGTTTATCAATCAAGGATGGTGAAATGGTTCGCCTAGAGCCGGCGATTCTTCCTGCAGCCACCAGCGCTCTGCTTATCTCACTTTCACCGATAAAGCATCTCTTCAGAAAAGATAGGTATATATTAGTAGTTTAAGTGGTCTAGTTAGTGTAGAGCTAGTTTAAGTGTAAGCTTATCAAGGAAAGAATGCGTAGTTTTAAACAGTAGCTTCATAATAATTTAATCAGGATCTGCTGAACATTAATAGTGCGAAAGGGCCATCTATATCCATACCTTTACATTTACATTTAAGCTCATGAAATACTTACTTACTTGGATACTTGAATGGCTCGTCCTCCTAACTGTCCGGGCCCCGACATAATTTCCATTTGTCAGGGATTTGCTGGTTAAGCCATTGTGGTTCTCTGGAATCCCGATGTCAGTCTGGCCAAAGTCTGCCCCAGGTCTTCACCACCACAAGCTGTCGCAGCCTTTGTGGATCAGAAGGAGATTTGCCAGCATACGACTTTGATACAACGATTGTGATGGATCCTGGTATTGGTTTACTCTTAGCTAGGCTTCCTGATAGAAACGCCGGACTTCTTCTCAGCTTGGGAGACCATGCCGGGGAGACGAATCTCCTTGCTGTACATCGCAGTCTGACACCCAGGAACACCTCCCAGACACGATGAGGTGGTAAACCACTGGAGGAAGCTCATGAAATTGAAAAGTGAATCCAGGTTTCGCTAAAACAGCCGCCTTCCATTGCTCAAAAAAGTTAGTGAAAAATATTTAAAGAGTGTTCCAGAGATTTTTCGAGGATTCTGACGGAGAATTATGATTTTCTGACAACAAACGACCTAATCTCCATTAAGGTCAGTTTTAGTGCTGTATTCAAATATTTAGCTATTCACTTTTTAGACTGCTAGTTGTTACGAGTGGTGCAGTAAAGTCAAAAAACTGACTAGTGAGTTATAGGCTTGTTAGATGACCAGCGGCTTTTGGGCGAGATGCATACCAGGCCCATGGTGTTTTATGGCATACAATGGATGACGAATGCAAACGTATAATATAGTCTTTGTAATCAGAGAACAATCCAGATCGATTTGATTGTTCTCACGTTATGACTTTCCCATGAATTGGCTTTTCTTTTGGTTAGTTTTTATCTCGGTTCTTTGAGCGTCAACTTGCGTCACTGAAACTGCTCGTAAAAATGGTGACGTCTTCAGTAAGACGAAGTATTAAGATGAGTTTGTCGCAATTATGTTTCCCAATCCCCCTTAATCGAGTGCCCTGCAGCGTCAGTAAAGAACTTTGGCGAAATTGTGCTGTATAGTGGCACCAGTTTCCGTTTGAAGATAAGGCGGAGTCAACGGGAAAGCCGTATTTTACTCTACAGTTCTAAACTTTTTGATCTTATAAACACTGTATTTAGCTAACATGAAATTTCCATAAAATTTTATTTGGCTGGAGTTTGGACGTCCTCGTCTTCGTCATAGCCGGATTTACCCAAGTTGATTGTCCACATCCGGTCGTCATCGTCATGTAAATCCTTGTGTCGCCTTGATTCGAATCCGGTGAAATAAGCCGCCCGAATGAAGTGCACTCACTCAGCAGTGCACTTCGAACCAGGGCGGTTACTGATCCCTTCCATCCGATGTAATCTCATGATCTGCTTTCGTGGTGGAAATGCATTCTGCAGTTGATATTATATCACAGAGCATATAACGTGGCAATATTTCGAAGAAGCGACTTTTATTTAACCTCGGCATAAATAGTTAATATTTTGTTGGATTGTTAAGCTAACACGAACTTAGTGAGAAGCTCGCAGCGGGTCGTTGTAGTGGCGCAGAAGAAACGTCATCGATACTTCAAAACGACGATCTTTTTGATCGTCATTCAATTCATGCGGGATCCATTTGTCCGGCTTTTTCGGCTTTCCACGTTTTCTTTGGACGCTTGGAAACTCTTGATAGGTTCATGTCGAGTTCTTCTGCTTCCATTATACTTTAAATTCATGAACGTTAGTAACAGGATGACGTCCTCTTCAAGGTAGAGTTTAGCACAACGAAACCTTTGAAACCGTTGTCGCACTGTGCACTTTTCAGCACTTTGTTAACCCCGTATTTCATCAATACCTCGAGAATTTTATACTGCACTATAGCCGAGCATTATTCGTGAAAGTGACATTCGTAAGGGAAAATCGTTTTAAAACATATGTAAGCAAAATAAAATTGTGTATCCTACATCTTTTACCGAACAACCTAATACAAATTCAAACCCGGTCGAAATCTCATGGACGCGTAGTATATTCGACATAGCACAATGTTACCCCATCTCTAAAATCTTCCTCAGTGAAAGTTACTTTACTCTTTACCCATGTTATTATTACACCTATATCGTAGTTCCTTTCCAATTTCAGTTTAACTGTCATTGTTTTGACGTCCTAGTGACTGATGTGAAGCCAGATGGCGCCGCTTGCATCTTAATTCCCGACGTGGTGAAAATTCTGTGGAAGGCCGTCGAAGAAACACAACCACCTCTCGCTCCAAAAAGGAATAATGTGTGTTTCATAATTTGTAATTTTAGCCTAGCATTTTTAGTAACACTGGAATTGAAAATAAGATCGAAACTGTAATACTTAGTCTTTAGCACGTTCTCTTTCCAGCGATTTCGGCGACAAACTTAAGAATCTATTACGAAATTTCCTCCACATATAACTCCTAGCAATGACGTTTTCGTCAAATGCTAATGTATTTAATGCTGTTTAAAGTGCGTTGATTAATTTAGTTTCCCCTGAAGGTCCGCTCTAATAAGCGTTGGTCATCGCGTGTCAGAGTGACTCCGGAAATTCCATTTAATACCCAGTTCAGCACTCCTGTGTATTATGCTCCTCCGATAGAAGGTAATTACTTCACAGATCACCTAATCATTCGTCGCAGTAGATGTTCTCACTAGTCCTGTCTTTTATGAAAATAGTATGGAAGATGTTTTTAAGTAATTGAAACATTTTATTATAACACTGTGACCATCGATTCAGTAAGTACTTATGATACTTGATACTTGAATGGCCCGTTCTCACTGGTTGTGCGGGCCCCAGCATAATCTCCATTTTTCGTAGATTTGCTGGTTAAGCCATTGTGATTCCCTGGAATCCCGAGGTCATCCTGGCCAAACTCCGCCATAGGTCACCACCACAAGCAGTCACCGCCCTTCTGGATTAGATCGAGATTTCCTACCATGCGACTTTGATACCAGGACGGTGGTGGATCCTGGTGGTAAGCACTTATGATTGAAATGATTTTTACAACAATCATCGAAGTAGTGATTTTCCTTATCATTCGTTCTTACCTTGTGTACTCCTACTTTCTCGGAGCCGACTCAATCAACATGTAAATGAAGCAATAGTACGATGACAAAATAAGCTATTTGTAATGTGAATATGCTTGTTACCTAATAGAGTGTCCTACTGTCATGGTGGCATCCTCTCTGTAAAGACCAAATTTGGGGAAATCTTATGTGAAATAGTGGCGGGCCTTACTAAAGTTCTTCTAGAAACGTAATCGTAACTGAATACGTTTTACAGCGATATTTTCCGGAAACCTATCCCGATTACGTCTAAGAAGTAACCGATTATGCTTCAGACAACCAAAACGTACCGACGCAAATAGTAAGTAAGGGAACTTCAAATATGGAGTGTAGGCCCGTTGTCGACTCGCTTTCTATGTCCAGGACGTTTGGAAATTCGTGCCAACCAGTTAACAATAAGGCGACGACAGAAGTAGTTGACCATTCATGGCCTGAAAAGGACCCTGCGACCCTCGACGAGTCGCCTTCTATGTCAGAAACTCTTGGAAAATCAATGTTTATGTCTATTCATTACTAACATTCCTAAAATTTTTGCTGTACTGGTTATAATTGGTGTTTGACTACTATGGTAAATTACGTGTTTGTAGTCTTTCCGTGACGAATATGTTTTAATAAACGTGTGTTTCTTTCGGTGGACTTTTGATAAGCGAGTGTGGTTTGTTACCGGATTATTAAAATCTTACATAGAAAAAGTACAAATCGTCGACAAGTTTTTAATCGATTACATCAATTAGAGCTACGATACACTAATGAATGGAAGAGCTCAGCACCTCAGTGCACTTCAAAGCAAAACAACAAAAAAAAAAGGGCGAATACAAATTGTTAGTTTCCAAATCAACCGCGAGTCCTGAAGAGTTCCGGATGGCCATCATATCTGCGTCTTTCATTTACCACGCTCAAACACAACACTAAGTCAGTGGCAGCGAAATCATCTGATGGAAAGCCTGTATGTCCGCAAAATTATGATTGCCAGCGATAAATATGCGGAGTAAAGTGTTAATGACATTGGAAAAAAATCAACCTATGATGTAACAGATTGAGGGATGTCTACTATTTCTCCCTAGCCGTCAGCTAAAGTGAAAAGAAGGAATTTAGCACACCACGTTTACTGAAGTCGTTGACACGAGCTTTACCTAAAGGACGGTGCGATGTTTTTTCATGAATTCAAAATTGTGGCGAAAAATAGACACGTATGAGCTGCATGACAAGAATGAACCAATTTTGGCCTGAAATCCAGTATTGTGACGTAGCAGTATAGGTTTCCATTAGGAAGGAGCTTGTAGATCAACTAAAATCTTAACCTAAGAGTTAAAGATTTAATTGGCTTATGTTAATAATTGGATAGTTCACAGAATAAGAAAACCGATAGGTGGACAAGAAAAACAGTACAGAGGAAGCGGGGACTATTAAGAAATTGGGCCGAGAAGTTCGTCAAACGTCAACCAGCTATTCTCATTGATGGAATCAATGTTTCAGACCGTCAACCGCAGAGGATACCACACGCGAACAGTACCACCTTTGTGGAGAATGACGGGTGTAAGTGCTGCAAAACGAATAGACGTGCTATGGGTCAGACGACATGTGAAGCGGAGCAATTAAGTCTCTAAGTTCCTAGGTAAGTATTTTACACATTTCATTAGAGAGAATATCTCTGGTCTGCGAAGAACCGTCACGACGTCGACAAGCCATTTCCTAAGAAACACGTGGCAACAACTGCAACTAACACTAACAAGAGCTAAAATCGTCGTCTGATCTCGATTACGAAACATAGAAGCATCTTTTGGTTAATTAGCCCTGCCGAAATGAAATCCGAAGGCAATAGAGAGTACTTCTTGGGTATCACTACAAGTTGAACTAAGAAGATAATTCCGATTTGTAAACAAAGCACTATCAATAAGACAGGAGATTGTCTTGGCTCGACAAGCAATACACTTTCTCTGTCGCCATAAAATCATCGGCTGGCTCCGGTCATTAACAAACGACAATTATACGGTGTGTGCGCCGAAAAGTTAGCTGAAGTGGATATCTTTATCAACTTCGTGTAAGCTCATCAAGTTAAAAATACGTGGCTGTAGTTATATTCGAACAAATGGTAGAGTTTGAAAAAAAATTGATACGCATTACAAGTAAATCGTCTAATGAGACTTCAAGAAGGGGTAAGAGCACCTTTACGAGGATCAAAGAAGTCAATATAGGGATTATAACGTGCCACGAAGTTCAAAGATGGCCATATTATAAGGTATGGCGCTCCCTGATGACAAGCGCTTGCTATTAGAATCGGAGCCAACCAAACCCATTTCTAGAGAAACTTTACGCAAGATGGCATTTAGTTTACGTCAACTTCGAGATAGACTGCGAAACAAAATTCGACTTCGATGAGAGTGAACAAAAGTTGGAAAGGAAGTAAGAAGTAGGAACATCTAGCCGACAAACATAAACCAAATACCCCGATAGGCACGCATAGAACCCAGAGACATAACGGGGAGGACTTTGAAGTTCGTGTTACGATCCTCGCACAGGAAACGAGAACACAAACGCGCAAAACTCTCGATGCGTTCTAGATTAATTCCAGAAATCCTAAAATGAACCGCAGAGAAGAATGCCTCATTATCAGGCGTGATATTGGACAGTATATAAAACTGTTATTCTGATGGGAGGGGCACATTACGCTTCCACGCGAATTCTGTGCGGTTGGTCTTCACGTGACATACTCAGTGGAAGACTCATAGAAGCGGTGAGTGCGCAGAGCTGTGTTAAATTTGATTGAAATCTTGGTTTAGCGTTTTCTGTGTTTGGTTATGGAGGTGTTTAGCCGAATAGGTTGCTGTCAACTTAACCTTTCCAGGCTCTGTGGAAGACGAAATCCGCCAAAACGTCATTTTGTACATAAATAAAGAAATAAAATAGCACGTCGTGTTTGCTGAACAGAAGTAGAAAGAAGTAGGAAAATTACTAATGCCGCCGTTTCCCCAAGCATTTCGTAGACAGCAAGAATCCAACTGCCAAATAGGCGCAAAATTTTGCATATAAGTTGTCTTCAACAAATAAGCGCCACGTTCGCTTTGGGAGAGACCGGCAAGCTACTTATGAGTATACCAAGCTACCACGTTCAGAGTTTAGCAACCTATACTTAGGCATCAAAAAGCCAAACACAATAAAAGAAACGCGCCTCATTCCTCTGACCCCGAAAGAGCCCACGATTCCGCAGCGTTGGGTAGGACGAATACCGAGAGGCCACTAAAATCTCAGAGCCATTCTAAGCTGTCTAAGCCGCAAAGAATTAAGGTGACAATTTGTACCTACAATGCACTAACACTTGCATCTGAGCTCTCGATAGAAGACGTGCTCATGCAAGCAAGAAGGATAAAGTACGATGTCATCGGTCTGGCCGAGACGAGACGACGCCACCCATTCAAGGCCGTCTATGACACCAGAGAAGAACTGTTTCCCGGAACATACGACAGTAGAGGAGTCGGCGGCGTCGGCATTCTCATCAGCATGAGTGTATTTACGAACATCGACTCATTCGAACAACTAACAACCCGAATTGCACGTTTGCGATTAAAGAGATGTGAATCAAAACCGGCTTTGACAATCTTCGTCGTTTACGCGCTGACATCAAACTATGACGAAGAAGAAGTCAAAGCATTTTGTATGGACTTGGAGAAGTTCTACAGAGAACAGTTCTACAGAGTTCTTCATACATTCTTCAAGGTCATCATCAGAGATTTCAACGCCAAGATTGAACCAAGAAGAACGTCTGAGGAACGTCACACTGGAGCCAACGGATCAGAATGGAACGAGCAGGGCTAGCTGCTGCCTGAGTTTATTACCACGACCAAGCCCATCCATGGTAGCTCGCAATCCAGAAACCCACCTTAAACGTTGGAAGTGGGAGACCTCTGGTGGAGCGTACCACAAAGAAGTAGATCACATCATGGCAAATCGACGATTTTGCCTTACGGACGCCTCTGTTGTCCTAAAATTCTATGCGGCACCAGACTATCGCTTTCATCGTGCAAGATTCCACTTTTCGCGGGAAGGAGAAAAAGCCACTAAATTCAAAAAACGAGGTCGCAGAACCACCACAAACTGGGACTTATTCAATTCATTAGTCGGCTGTTGGGAAGATGCCGATATCATCGACGAAAAATACGATCGGCTCATTCAACACCTTCACGTTAGCGTTATGAAAGCTGAGAGTTCGAAGGTCGACGCCTCTGTCCCCGGAAATATTCGAACTGATACGCCGGAGTGGAATAGAACGAGCTGCAAGCAACCGCGAACTAGCTTTCGAACTTGAGAAACAATGCAGGTAGGCGATAAAAGAAGATCTTAAAGAGAGAAGAGCAGCAGGTATGGTCGAAGTTGCGAAGGCTGGGAAAAGCACTCGCAAAGTCCACTGAGATTTCGCCAATTATAAAACCAAAATGATTGGACTCCGACGCCCAGACGGAACAGTTACAGCGTCCAAAAAGGCAATGGAGAAAATCACTTACAAATGCTACTCAGATCTCTTCGATAGCCCCATCCGCCTTTATTCATATAAAGCAAGGAAAGATGGATTTTTTGTACTAGCAGTTCTCCTTTCCGAAATCCGACATGTTGTTTAGTCAGTGAAAAATTAAACAGCACCAGGTCCGGAGAGGATAAGACCAGAACACCTGAAGAACCTTCCAGCAGTCCTCACACACTGGCTCGGTTTCTCACACGTTACCTGTCTGAATGAAAGGCCGCTACTCAGTCGAAGACCAGTAACATCGTGTTATTATTCAATAAGGGTTGCCTACGCGATATCGGCAACTATCGCCCAATCTGCTTGCTGTCTGTTGTCTGCAAACTTTTCACTCGAGCCATCTTAAACAGTTTTGACAAAACATTGAATAAAGGGCAACCAAGGGAACAAGCAGAGTTTCAAAAGGGATTTAGTGCGGTTGACCACGTTCACACGATTACAAGACTCATTGACGTATCGTGAGAGTACAAAAGACAGCTAAGTCTCCCTTTCATCGATTTAAAGGCCTTTGAATGAATTGAGATAGAAGCATTTATGGAAGCCCTTGAGAGTCAGGGATTCTCTACTCAGTGCATAAAGATTCTTCGTGAGCTGTACAAAAATTTCACAACTAAGGCATCACTATTCTGCAACGATATTAACATCGACGTCAAAAGAGAGGTTAGGCAAGGCGATACCATCTCGTCAAAATTATTTACCGCCACCCTCCAGAACGTTATGTGAACATTGGAATGGGACAACATGTTGGTGAAGTTCTGTGGTCGGCAATTACACCATCTTCTCTGTGCTGATGACATCGTCCTTCGAATACCAAATACTAGCCAAGCAAAACGAGTGCTTGCCGACTTTGATAAAGCCTGTAGAAAGATTGCTCTTCAACTGTACCTCACAAAAACAATGTTCATGAGGAACGGATTGGTTTCGTATGCGCCATTCACGCTCTGTGGGCCCAATATCTCCCAAAGCTCCAGTTATGTCTACCTAGGTCGGAAAATCAAAATGATGAACGACTTAACTCCAGAGTGGAGCAGAAGGGAACGAGCGGCTTGGGGAGCTTTCAAGACCATCAAGGATGTAGCAAAGAGAACAAAGAACACCCAATTCGGTGCCCACCTTTTCAATTCCACGATTCGCCCTACTTTAACTTATGCGTCAGAAAGCTGGTCTCTGATCAAGTTGGATAAAAGATCAATCAGCGTTGTTCAACACGTAGTCAAAAGGACGATGCTAGGAGTATCCCGTTTCACATCAGTGAAGAAAGGGATCCGAAACTCCGACTTGCGTCAACGATCAAAAATCAAGCATGCCGTTCTCTTCACTTGCTGAAGATAGGGTGGGCCTACACACGTAGTGCGAATTAACGACAACCGATGGACAAGAGCCATTAGTGACTGGATTTCTCGAGATGTCAAACGCACTGCAGGAAAAGCATCGACCCGATGGTCAGAGTTCTTCTTAAAAAACCGAGAAGAAATAACTCGAAAGACCGACTTTCTATAAACCCCGGCATAGATAGTTGATATATTTATTTATGTGATGTTATAAACTGATCTTTTCAAGCTGACGCGAGGTTGGCACAGATCTTCGTTGTCGTTGTCGTTCTCGTTGTCGTTGTTTATGATGTTATTGATCGATGGCTGACGTTTCGGCGACTTCGCCATCCTCAGAGCCTGGACATACTTTATGTTAGAATACTTTTTATTATTCGGTAGAAAAGAAGGTTAAAGTATTAATGAAGATCAAACTTTCAAATAGACACCATATTGAACGGAAAGGCCACTCACCGCGATGTTGCGTGCGGGACTGGCCCACACGTAGTTCACGCGAGCAAGACACGCCCCGGGGTCAAAATATCATTTTGAAATAGGGCGCCAGGTCACGCGTGATAGTGAGGTATTCGTCCTTCCGGTTCATCTGTGAACGCCTCAAGAGTTTTGCGCGTTGATGTTTTTGATTCCTGCGCTAGGATCCGCACATTCACTTCAAAATCATCGCCGTTGTGCTTTTGTACCCTATGCGTACCTAGGGTGGTGTTTAAACGGATTTTAGCTTTTCCATCTAGATGTTCTTTTATGCGGACACAAAGTGGTCTACCCGTTTCCCCAATATATTCCTCGCCGCATGCATTACATGTGATGAAGTATATTATATCTAAACTCATGCAGTCTCCGTCTCTCCCGTTGGGACAGATCATACAGTTTTCTGAGCTGCACAAACGATCAAAGAGACGAGAAGAAATATTTGATGTTTAACGAGTTTCTAAGTCGAACAGAGTCTTCTGGGCTACTCTAACACGCGGCAGGGAAAAATGGAAGTTTTGCCGGCGCCTGCTCGATCAATTCGTTTAGTGCGGTTAGTTCATCCGACCCACGAGTGATCAGGTGCACTATGGGATCTCGAGGGAGTTTTCATAGCCTCTCGATTTGCGTCAGCACCAACAATCTTAGAATGGTCAAAAAATTAAAGTACAACGGGTCTCAAGTTCGCCGACGCCCAGCGCCTACATTTCATCTATTTCAAATTTCCACGAAGCATATTGCCATGTTTTTAATTTATTTCGAATATGTATCTGGAGCACTGTGGTCTGCTCTGGAGCATGATATGAACGAACGAAAGCTTTACTGAGAGCAAATGGAAACAGTTGATAATTAAATAGATTACGTGTGATTTAGAACTACCAAAATGACACCAGTAAAAGCAATGAAATTCTAGATGTTAAAAGTTGAAAGATTCAAAAACATTTTGTCCTTGCCTTAAACGCCGTCAAAGCTTCAAAACATAAGGCGCCATATGGAGGGCGCTTCATCGGTGGAAAGTGTTATAAAAACCATAATCTTATACCATGAGCACTTTTGATGCTACTGCTTACTTCGGTACGAAGATTTCGTTTTACATTCACTCATTAGCTTATCCAAAACGTATATCGTGGCAGATGTGGGCGGTGAGAAGCTGATCCCTCACAAATTTAGGATTCTTCGAGCACTTAACATGGAATAAAAGTGACTTAATGACAGAAATGGATTCAGGGAATAGTTCCCTATTTTTGTAATGTCAAGTGCTATATATAGACTTCCAACATTTATCGCATGCGTAAATGGATGCTCAGATCTATATTCGAACTCGACCGAGCACCTGAGCAAAACTCTTCCACTAGATGATTTGGAAAGGTCCTGGAAAGTAGTTAAGCGTCTTCGCCAATAAGTAACTTTGCTATCAACCCCGGGTAATGATAGGAAATTACCTATGGATATTACGATAAAAAATGAAAGTCCAGTCGTCATTTTTTATTGCCTAGTCTTTTTTAGTGACAGGGTATTATGGGAAATACAATCATAATGATGCTGAGTTATTTGCAAAAGTCCTGATCATAGGTATCCGCGATGGGGAACGAACGCGATATTACGTTTTCCTGGGCTAACGCGTTCACCATCACACCATGCGAACCTTCATTTCGCCTGTCTCTCAACCTGTCTCTTGTTAATCTATAGAGGCTATCAGCAGTCACCACACAACAAGATTGATCTGGGGAGCTCAAATCGGCAATGAACCCAGTTAAGTTGAAGCTGTGGTTAAGAAGGCAATAAAAAGAATATAGAATAAAAAGAATAAAAATAGAAAGTGAGGACATTGCGATTTATAACACAATTTCAGCTTAACTGGATTCAATACAGATTTGTGCTTCCCAGATCAATCTCGTTGATGGGTGATTGCTCATAGCATCTATATGCCAATAACACAAAAACGAAACGAAAGACTCGTATGGTGTGGTGGTGAAAGCACAAACCCCCGAAAATGGTAGTAGCGCGTCTTCACCGCAGGCACTGGCAGTCTGGAATTTTGCAAAAAGTCCAGTTTTCGTAGCCGCGGAAGAGCTGTAACACCGTAGGTTAAAATAACGAGTATGGAGAAGAATGAAATCTAAGCACCATTCCAGGTTGCCTAGATTTAGAAGCTTAAAGTGGCGGTCTATACTTGCGACGCAAGGACATATCTGAGTGCCCCATCGAGGCGATAAGTGCGAGGGTTGACCGAGGCAATAATACACCGCCAATGAAACAACGTTTATGGTATACATGAAAAAATTATCTCGCAACCTACGATAGTAGATAAGCTAGCGGAGGTAATGTTCCTGTCAACACGTTCTCGGTCATGTCAAATCTATCCGTTTGATTGGGCGTTTACGAGTGAAAATATGTTCAGAAAGCTGACTTTGACAATCTTCGTCGCAGACTTATATTAACAAGGTGTAACGGAAACGTCGAAGCATTCTTTGTGCTACTGAAAAGAAGTTTTGCAGACGGCTTTTCCAAATTTGTCTAATATGCATACTTTGGTGCATTGAAAGTCGCCGTTCATGAAAAGAAAGAGTTCCAGTTCATTTATTCTTCGGCGTATTTTTCTGAGCAATTGGGCAAGTTTTTCGATGGAAGTGCAATTTCGCGCTTTAAGAACTAACATGTTAACATATGAGGACAGTTTCTGAAACGGCCTTTAAACGACCATTATGGCGAAGTCCTTTAGATCTTTGTCATGCTTAAATCCGTACTTAAATTATGAATTCTTTGCTTCCAATCGCAGTTCAACGTCGAAAAATTCCGTTGACACATTGGATTCGTTCCTCATAACTTTCTATTTATTTCAAAAGTGGATATCAATATTACATTTTATTTACAACACTTAACAAAAGGTTATGACTGAAACACTAGTTTTAGCGCAGAAACGTCCGTAGAAATAACGAAGTAGATCGTGAGTAGGCAGCGTTTGGGAGCCATTAGATAAAGGAAAACCGTATACAACTGATCATTGAGGAGAGGAAGTGGTAACAGACCAGAAACGGCTCCAGAAAAGCCAAGTGGGGAGATTAGTTGGGTAGAGCTGCCCACCTACATGGGCATAGAGTTGGCATGCAGTCATGAAGCGAGCGACGAAGCATAATAATCGTTTATAATCATGACTGGAGACAATTGAGCTGGAGGCAGAATGGCGTTTGGGGTAGGATTTGAGCCCAATAGTGGAAACGCATTATTTTCCAACGAGTAAGAGATTCGTTAATTTCAGAGAAACACTGAAGAATTAGAGGGAAAGATGTTTGTATGTGAGAAATGCTATCATCGATGTAGTTGACTAGCGAAGTAATTGGTGAAATGTCGACCAGGCAGCACTGGGTAAAGAAACACCTCAGCTCCAACTCGTAGCCTTCGTGAATATGGATCGGGTGTATTTTCCTGAAACAAATGGGGAATTATTACAGACAAACACATCAAAATAAAAAAATGCTAAGTAGCATGAGTACTCGAAAATGCTAAAAACGAACGAGAGGTGAAATGCTTCACATGGATGCGAAAAATATTGCAGAACTAAATGGAACACCCAGTAATCATAATATGTCTCGGGGCTTTCCTTCTCCTATGCTTCCTCCTCTTATTCTTGGACACTTGGATGGCCCGTCCTCACTGACTGTGCGGACCCCAGCATAATCTCCATTTTTTCGAAAATTTGCTCGTTTAGCCATTGTGGCTATCTGGAATCCCGAGGGCAGGCCGGCCAAAGTCTGTCCAGGTCACCACAGCTAGTCGCTGCGCATGTGGATCAGAAGGAGATCTGCCACCATGCGATTAATTTTATATCAGGGCGGTGGCGGATCCTGGTACTGGTTTACAGCTAGGCCTCCGCTTCCTGATGAAAACGCCGGACTCCTTCTGAGCTTAGGAGACCCTGCCAGGAAGATGAACCTCCCGTTGAACATTGCAGCCCGTCACCCAGGAATACCTCCCAAACACGACTAGGTGGTAAATCGTTGGGAGATCCATCCTATTCGCATCTTTTCCATTGATCACTCTTTAGTCTTGTCATGGTTTTTCTTAACGTTGACTAAAATGCTCGTGCTGTACATCGATTATTTGGAACGAAATTTTCTCTTGTAGTTTAAATTGGAATTCTACGAATCCAAAAGTCTCCCTCATTTGAGGTATCATAAGCCACTTGCTCGCGGGGCTATGTGATAACCCACGAGTACTGTAGCTGAACTGAACCGGATTGACTTATATTTTCGTATTTATGCTAATAATGGTACGAATGTGTGCATGGATGCGGTGGGTTATGAGTTAAGTCCACAGAAAACCTTCAAAACAAGCTCACGACGGCGGAGAAAAAAACATGCCAGCTGTCCTATAGCGAGATCTCATCGCAGATCATAAGCGAACTACTCATGATGCTCTAGCAAAGAATAATGGAAGCAAACTTCGTTACAGTGATTTCGTAATATTGTTTCGAACTAACAAAACTCGCTAGACAGTTTATCACGTTACACGACAAATGGATGTTTTATTGCACCGTGCAGAGGAAAAGAAGAAGACGAACTTGTAGTAGAGCTCTGATTCGATGCACAAGAAAGACAAAGTCTGGCCGGTCGTCAGGAAGTGATCGCCAACAGCATTGCATCAGGTCGTAGCTGAACAATATGTAATAGTAAAAGAAGCTGAAAAGAAAAACGGAGAAAAACAATGATATGTAGAAAGAAAGCCTCGATAGATGTGGTGTAGAAATAAAGGGAATCGGTCTACTGGTAAGGTAAGATTTATAGCATAACTTTACGAAATGTTCGCAATTTCTTCACACATAATCAAATTTTCCTAACTTTCACTTAGAGTTCGTAAATGTGCAAAGCCCAGCTCAAGAAACTGAATAAGATGTCAGTACAAAATTAAACAAATCGGAACACTAAACTGTAAGAGAGTGGGCGATTTCGATCAAATTGGATGATTAGTTGAAGTGGTCTATTTTGCAGCTGAGGAAAAAAAAGTGGTGGTAAAAGAGAACGAACGACTTCTCTTTGCTCAAAAGGCGAAATAACTGAAAGCTTTTTTTCAGAATGAGAAAAACTTGTGTGATAGAGAAAACTGAAAGAAACGTACACGACATCCGGGCAGCGTATCGGTTGTGGAAGACGTAAGCCGCTTTCCAAATACAATCGCACCTTAGCATTCGAGACATCTCCATATGGTGAAGCGGCACGTGTCATCAACTCCCACATCAACACACCGAACGACCACTGTAGGTGAAATCTCAGCTTTTGATAGAACATGAATGGTGTTCTTAGTAAATCGATGGAATGATTATCACAAGGATGCTGAGATATAGAACAAGAGCGAAACTCGAAGCCTCGGGTGCGCTTTGGAATTGCGGTTACCCTTTTCGAGAGCTCACGTGTTACCCAGTGCACCAATCGAGGACTTGCTCTGCTATTCTCTCAGAGAGTTCTCTTTTAGCTTAACGGTGGTAGCCTATTTGTAGAAAAAACCTAATACAATAAATATTCTACACAGTAATGTATAACGTAGAAATCGAGTTCAGTATCCAAGTAGAACAACAATCTACGCATGTACGTGATGCAGGAGCCGCGTTAGAGATGTCCTGTAATCCACACTTGTTGGCTGGCTCTACCCCGTTTACCGAACTCACCAAGCCTTCATCCCATCGATATTGGCAAATTGGCATCAGATACGAGAAGATAAAAACACTGGCTAGCACAACGACAGGCTAGTACAGACTGTAGAAGAGTTCATATATGCATACAGTCACATCTATCATGATAAGAATGGAGACGAATACATGCGCAAAAATCAGGGATTGGCTACCTTCAAAGACTTTGTCCTTTTATTCAAATCAAGAGTGATAGTTAACCGATCCCAGCCGACGATTTTTGCAGAAGATTAGTTAGTCCAGTCATATAATCTAGTCGGATCCCTTAACTTTTGGATCATTATTGTTATTTAATGGGTCTTGGGTATTTATTTCACAGAATTCATTAAATGGAAGACTTTGGTGATGGTGTGCTGTACGATGATAAAAAGCAAAACGACAAGGAAAGTTTTAAAAATAGTGTAGTGCCAGTCATAAGTTGTATTTTCAAAAATAAACAGGTATGACTTTTTAGAGTAAATTTAAGGAACATTTTGGTTTTCTGATTATCGCCTTAACTGATACTCACAACATCAGTTGCAACACTAAAAACTCGACGATCCCGTAGACTTTCCGGCGCAAGCCATTTCAAAGGAAGTCGAGCAGGTCCTGAATCGACAGCAAACGTGTTTCTAGACCATTATGTGTGTCGTTTTAACCAAAAATACAATAAAAGAACCAGTTTCGGATTCGTCAATGTACGACTCCTTGTCAAGTAAATCAACAGCAAGGCCAAAATCGGCAACTTTAACGACCCGATTAGCAGAGATCCTGCAAAGAATGGAAGGTACTGACAGGTAGGAATCAACAAAATCGAACACAATTGTCAGTTTATATTTTATAATCCTTAATGAAAAAAGAAATACGTGAAAATAACAGCTCCTCTTTACGGACATGCAGTTTCTTGCCGCAAGATCCCGGTGAACAAAGTGCTGTGCAGCCAAGTAGGCCATTCCTTGTGAGACCTGATAGGCGAAGTCAAGCAATTCCAAAACACAGAGACCCTGAGAAAAAAGTTTGCAGTATTTCTTGATTATTTAAACAAAGTACGGAATGGAAAACGGTTCCATTTCGGCGAACGACTAAATGAAGGAACTCTGAATTGAAACTACCAGCAGCGAAAGGCGACAAAATAAAGGATGATTTATTTATTTATGTGATCTTATAGACTGATCTTCTTAAGCTGACGCGAGGTTGGTACAGATCTTCGTTGTCGTTGTTTTTGATGTTATTGATCGATGGTTGACGTTTCGGCGACATCGCCTTCCTCAGAGCCTGGACGTACTTTATGTTAAAATACTTTTTATTATTCGGTGGAAAAGAAGGTTAAAGTATTAATGAAGATCAAACTTTCAAACATACGCCATATTGAACAGAAAGGCCACTCACCGCGATGTTGCGTGCGGGACTGGCCCACACGTAGCTCACGCGAGCAAGACACGCCCCGGGGTCAAAATATCATTTTGAAATAGGGCGCCAGGTCACGCGTGATAGTGAGGTATTCGTCCTTCCGGTTCATCTGTGAACGCCTCAAGAGTTTTGCGCGTTGATGTTTTTGATTCCTGCGCTAGGATCCGCACATTCACTTCAAAATCATCGCCGTTGTGCTTTTGTACCCTATGCGTACCTAGGGTGGTGTTTAAACGGATTTTAGCTTTTCCATCTAGATGTTCTTTTATGCGGACACAAAGTGGTCTACCCGTTTCCCCAATATATTCCTCGCCGCATTCGTTACATGAGATCAAGTATATTATACCTAAACTCATGCAATCCCCGTCTCTCCCGTTAGGACAGATAATACAGTTTTTTGAGCTGCACAAACGATCATAGAGACGGTTTCGAACTAACTGGCGGCGTAAGGTATTGGGTGGGATGACAACAATCGTTACATAATTTTTAAAATTTTAAGCGCATTCACTTTGTGTCCGCATAAAAGAACATCTAGATGGGAAAGCTAAAATCCGTTTAAACACCCCTCTAGGTACGCATAGGGCACAAAAGCACAACGGCGATGATTTTGAAGTGAATGTGCGGATCCTAGCGCAGGAATCAAAAACATCAACGCGCAAAACTGTTGAGGCGTTTTGNGAGAGACGGGGATTGCATGAGTTTAGGTATAATATACTTGATCTCATGTAACGAATGCGGCGAGGAATATATTGGGGAAACGGGTAGACCACTTTGTGTCCGCATAAAAGAACATCTAGATGGGAAAGCTAAAATCCGTTTAAACACCCCTCTAGGTACGCATAGGGCACAAAAGCACAACGGCGATGATTTTGAAGTGAATGTGCGGATCCTAGCGCAGGAATCAAAAACATCAACGCGCAAAACTGTTGAGGCGTTTTGGATAACTTTCAAAAATCCAAAGATGAACCGGAAGGACGAATACCTCACTATCACGCGTGACCTGGCGCCCTATTTCAAAATGATATTTTGACCCCGGGGCGTGCCTTGCTCGCGACTCATCGTGAACTACGTGTGGGCCAGTCCCGCACGTAACATCACGGTGAGTGGCCTTTCTGTTCAGTATGGCGTCTATTTGAAAGTTTGATCTTCATTAATACCTTAACCTTCTTTTCCATCAAATAATAAAAAGTATTCTAACATAAAGTACGTCCAGGCTCTGAGGAAGGCGAAGTCGCCGAAACGTCAGCCATCGTTCAATAACATCAAAAACAACGACAACGACAACGAAGATCTGTACCAACCTCGCGTCAGCTTAAGAAGATCAGTTTATAAGATCACATAAATAAATATATCAACTATCTATGCCGAGGTTCATAGAAAGTCGGTCTTTCGAGTTATTAAAGGATGATTATTGATTGTGAAGAAAATGCCACTCGTCCGATAGGACTAAGCTCCTATTATTTTACTCATTTTTGCATAACAATAGGAAAATACACGGAATTATTTTCTGGTGAACGACGTGAACAAAGGTAGCACGAAAACTAAAGGCAAAATCACTTCCTTAATTCTTCTAGGTGAACAGTTAGTTGGTGACAGTTTCTTGAATTAATATCAAACCTGCGCTTTCAATGGAATATTGTTAGTGTTAATGTTAACTTGTTTTCAAGGCATGGAAGTGAAAGTTTGTAAGTTGTGGTAAGTAAAATAACTCGGAGCTTATTATTCATTGAATGCGTGGCAAAAATGGACGATGAAAAGAAAACAAGTGAGATATTGGGAGAATTCCATAATGATCGGCTCCCATTCAGTTAGTTCTCAACCATTACCAAAATGGAGCACTGTTCAGGAAACGAAAAAGTAACTGTAGTATAAAAAGATATGGTGCAGACTGTAGTATAGAAATACAAAACTGTTCTTTATTTCGTTAAAGCCGACGTTTCGGCAGTATCGCTTTCGTCTGAGCCGTTTTTCACGTGCCTTCCATTGAGGAAGAGCAGCTGATCAGAACTCGAGAAGACGATACTGCCCAAACGTCAGCTTTAACAAAACAAAAAATAAAGTAACACTTCGTGTTTGCTCAATAAAAATAGTTATAAATAATACTGACCCTATTCGGATCACCGATATAGGTTTTGAGGTCACCGCCGTCCATGAACGGTAGTACCACCCATGGTGTACCAGATGGTGAAAAAGCAATTCCTTTAAGGGAGAGCACATGTGGGTGGTCGAAATGCTTCATTATGATACCTTCTCGAAGAAACTTCTCGATATGGGCAATATCTCGTGATCGATCACCTGAATGAAGGGTGTTTAATTCACATTATTAATGGCACTGTATGGTTTCCTAGGGCGTATGTGGGGAAATTACAACACAAACGTGCTCGTGGGGGTTCAATCCTAAGCTCTGGAGTCAACAAGCCTTCCATTCCGGCGGTGACGGCAAATTGGTACCAAACATGTCTGAGAGGATAGCGGTACTGACTTTTATCATCGGTAGGCTACCGCAAGGCACCGTTGGTCACGTATTTCTTCAATAATCTCTAGCCATGCTGGATGAAGTCGAGTGCACGGGGCAACCCTCGGAGATTGATCAACTCGGAAAGCTCTATAAACTACTTTTATGGTTAACTCTGTCAGCTACGTTGTGAGCAATTGGATTTTCTGATATATTTTATATGCAGGAGAATTTCTGAATATCAGATGCACTATCACATCGTTAGTGCACAGGTTAGCTTTTCCTTGTAATACATGCACGCTGCCATTAGCTCAACCCCGTATCCAGGGATTACAAATTTTAGAAGAAAATCTTCATTGGAAGAGTAAACGTGAAAATTTTCTCTTCATGTAAAATGAATTTTAAATTCCTTCTTCTCTTGCCGAAAGCGAAGCCGTTAGATATGCAATTCAACAACACGAGTGAGGTCTCCGGTTCACCCCTTCACTGAGACAACAAGGCTTCACAACCTTCTGGGACTGGCCAATTGGCACGAGAGTTTCCTAATGAAAGCTCCTTTACCGAATTCAAACGCAAATTCGAACAACTTCGTCGATGGTGAATGCGAGAAAACGAGTCGAGAGAAACAATTGTTGGTGTACTCACAATACATGACGTCGACGCATGTAAATAAATACTTGGATACTTGGATGACCCGTCTTCACTGGTTGTGAAGGCACCAGCACAATTTCCATTCTGCGGAGATTTGTTGGTTTAGCCAATGTGGTTCTTTGCAGTACCGAGGTCAGCGTATACGAAGTCTTCCCCAGTTCCTCGCCACCTCGTAGAGTCGCCGTCCTTGTGGATCAGAGGAAGATTTGCCACTATGCAGCTAGCGTGTTACAAGAAAGATGGTGATTCTTGGTGTTGGTTTACTTTTGGTTGAGGTTCCAGACCGAGATGTCGGATTCTTTTTCAGTTTGGAACTCCCTGCTGTGGAGATAAAACCTCGCTGTAAATCGCAGCCCGACACCCAGGAATACCACCTAGCCACATTTAAACAAATAAAAAATCAGTTTGTATTTCGTTATACCTTTAAGAGTCTTAACGGCAACTGGTTGTGTACGTCCAGTGGAATCCCGCATGAGACCACGATAGACATTTCCGAAATAACCTACAATGAAAAAACCTTTAATGCTTACAGTAACTCCCTAAGTACTTACGTTACTTATTCAGTTATCTAAATGCCGCACGTCTCCTACTGTTTCTCTCTCTGGAATTCCATAAAATACAGACAGCATACAAACATAGCGACGCAATGGCACTGAGGAAATGTTGCTCACTTTGAGCAGTGTTTAGTTAGCTGCGTTTTCTCGTTATGGATTCTGACCTTTTATTGAAGCAGCGCAGCTGATCTTCATTGATCAATAAATAGGTGAATCAAACTGGAAATCTCATGCACAGAAACTCTTTGTCTAAACTAAACAAACAAAACGGGAAGCACGTGCCCGAGAAGCGATGTTTTCGAAGACCCGTAGAGTGAATAAAAAAAAACATAAACCGGTCTCGACAAATTTACCTATGTAACTGATTTCCAAATGTGAGCCTTTTGTGAAAACGAAAAAGAAACGTTAACAGGTAGAAACGAACATTTCACCGAACGAAAATCTGCATTCAATAGATAGCTATGGATTTGTGCACACTGATTTAAACACGCTTAGGAATGTAAAATCATATCGAGGGAAAATTTTTCTATTCTCTCCTTGATAAGATTCGACGAGCTTACACGAGCTCATGGAAATTTTATGCTTATAGGGAACAGATTCAATGATAGTATAAGTAGCCGGATAGATCTCCTGCAATTAAAATGAAGTTTAACTAATTGAATTGCACTAAGGAATAGAAAAACTGACACAAACAAATTCAAGTAGGAATACCAGCGCAACCGTCTAGAAAGCTTCTTTCTCCCAGGTGAATCTAATTATATCAATTTAAAAAACAAATGGTCACTATTAACTTAAGACAAGGGAGGAGGCAGCACAGTAGCAGTGATATCGTTCATCACGAGCACAGTACTGGTTCGGCAATGACCCGGACTCACCAGTTTTCTCACCATCCAGAGTCGAAAATTTGCGCCACACTTGCTTAGGAACATTTCATTCTTTGCAAACCTAGTGGAAACGCTCTAGCTCGGTTATTCCATCACTCCAGGCAAAGTCGACTCGACCAATAATCAGCGACATTCAGAAAGAAGGCGAAAATCCTCAAGTAGCTGTCAAATGCACATGCGAAAAGTTCAGAGACCTCGGTGGTGGATGATGGATGTGAGATGAATCGAGGTAGAAAATAAAAACAAATTCGAATATACTCGAAAACGGTCCCGTTTATAAAATACTGAGTATTCATAGCGAACAAAAGGATAATTGAAAAATTCTGTTCATTTCTAACAAAAAGCATGTTCTTCAAGGCGTCCACCAAACCTCATCAAACTAATGATTGAGCACCATTCTAAAGTTCCATAGTTCTTCTGGATGGATAACTATATTAGAAAACAATACGGATTACGTGCACCGACGTTCTACGTCAGCCTTGCTCCTTGTCTATTTGCTTCAGAGATGAAGAACAAACTTGGTCCATGACTGCGACTGCTGTTTAAATTTATGATACGGTAAATAAATAGCCTCTTTTTCAATCAACATCGTACAATTGAGAAACCTCATTCTACTTAGACTCGACTCAGAAAAATAATCGAGCACACAATTGCTCGATACTATGACCAGACACTATAATTCTGTACTGTACAATGAAATAAAACGAAATATCAAAATGTGTTATATAATCGTCCACAGGGAACGCAAAAATTTCGAAGACAACTTCACTCTCACTTTATCTCAAATAGTGTACTGTATTTTCAGAACTTTCATAAAACAGAGAGGTGGGAAGTGATTGGCTAGATAAGTTGGCAACAACATCGCATATGGTTTGATTTCAGCACGCCCAAGTCCAGTACAGCCTTCTACACCACAGGGTTCAGCAAACTGGTACCGGATGTTTCTGAGAAAACCTCCGATACAGAATGGCCTAAAAGTGGCCAAATAGTGTAGACGTGAGAGCGTTCTGGTAAAACCATCTCAGGATTCCATGGAGAATCGATTCGACCATCGTTCAACAACATCAGCGAGGAAGAAGAATTGCTGAAACAGCAAACGAACCCAGAATTAAATCCGAACGTCTTCACAAATAAAAGAGATGAGGAAAGAAATTTGGTGAAAACGAACAATAATATCCAACCCCATTAACTCGCTCTTACGTATTCGCAAGGTAAGTGACTTTGTTCGGGCTTCCAACGGAAAATAGGCCAAATTAATGAAAATTGTACACTCAAATACAAATCAGTTCCCTTCCATATCTATTGCTCCTTCAATTTGCTCACGTTCACTCAAGAACAACTGAACGTTATCCCGCTGAAAAATCGCTGTCGCGTCAGTTTTTCTCCGTTTTGTTCCACAAAAAAACCCTACCAGTTTACGTTTGCCTGTATGTCGCGCAAGTAAATGGCTTTAAAAAACCCAACAGTTGGGTTCATCGCCAAACAACCGGTTGAACTCATTCTATTTTGAGCTCAGAGGATATGACAGCGTGGAGGAGGTGTGCAGAGTGATGGTAGCGGTACTCATGGGATCCTCGGAAAAGAAAACAATGATTGGGAGCGATGACATTCAAATGTAAATAAATAGATAGCAATAATAAGTTCAGGGTCGACATGTAATGGGAAACAGCGTGAGGTGACAAGATATGCTTATGAACAAGTGGATGCTACCTTTCCTAATCTGCTCCGGAATATGGAAAATGGGGATTTATATCGCAAGAACTCTATGTATGTCTATTCTTCTATGTCATCTATCTATGTCATGTAAACTCAAACTAAAAAACTTTTAACCTTCGACACTTAAAGCGCTCTTAAAACCTTCATTTGAATTTCAAGAAGCTGGCGAAAAAACCAACCAATAGAAAACTATGGTGAAATACGAGCCATCCGTATCTATCTTGTCAATAAAAACTGAAGAAAATAAATGTCTGATGATTTTCGCCTTCATTTTCCAAGCGGTGGAGATCTGGATGATGACATAAACGAATTGTCATTGCCTTATTGAGGCAGGCTCTAACTATTTAATAATTATCAAGACTATAGATGGGATTTCTCCCAAAAGTCAGTCATTATACCAGCTAGTTGTTTTTATCCAGTTAAATAATGGACAGTAGAAGAAAAGGAGAACGAAGAAAGAACAACGAACAAAACACCTTCATACACATAAAGAACTCTTAGCATTACAAGCGTAAACGAGATGTATTGATCATTTACCTTTACCGACTATAAGTTCCAATACGATCGCTTCAGATGGTATGAGAAGTCCGGTAAGCGATTGACGAAGATCTGGACCAATTAAATGGAGTAAACCGACTGTCGAATAAGTGGACGAGACTGAAATAACGAGTAGAAGAAGAGTTGAAAAACTCAAAATTTGGTTTGACTGAACCCATTCAAGTTGAAGCTTGTCTTACAAAAGAGGGATCAGACTGAAATCCATGTTTGATGAAACTAAGTAGAAATGCTTATCTTTCTATGGGAAATTCTTAAAGGAATGACATTACACCTACACATTACGAATGCCGTGTGAGAATGATTTCATTCGATTTATCTATTCTCACGGATAATCTTATTTGATGGAAAGATGGGATGTAAGTAGTAATATAATACATTAACTGTTTTCATTTGAATTCGTGTCAATTCATCATGGAATTCAAGTTTTGTCGTAGCATTGTTTAATTGAAGCTAATCAAAGTTATCAGCCAAATTCAAAGACATCGGTAGGTTTGAGGAATCGAAGATCATATTCAATAAAGTAGATTTCCTTTTTCATTCGCAAATATTTTAAGATGGGGTCGATAGCACAGTGGTAGCGATGTCTGTTATGACGAGCATGGTGCTAGTTCGATACCGCTCCGGGCCAACCAAGCCTCTCATCTCTCCGGGGTCGGGAAATTGGTACCGGACTTTTCTAGGAAAAAATCACTCCTTGTAATCCAATTGGGAACGCTCCGATCCGGCTATCTCAGGACTCCAGGGAGAATTACCTGACCAGCATTGTACGACATTCCAGATGAAATGAAAATCCTCAAGCAGCAACCGAAGTCAGACGTCAAAACTTGGAAGACCTTCGTCGACGATGGATGCCAGGAAACGAACTGGATGTCAGAAGGGCTGGGATCCACACAGTAGACGTGAAGACGGATCAAATAAAATAAAGTAAAAAAAAATAGGTGTTTAAAGATTCCCATGTCATCTATAATATATTTGATTTCAAAATGAGATACCATTCGAAAAATAATGAGGAAAATATTTTCAAAAAAGTGCTCCATTGACTTAATAAATCACCTCTATTCAACATAAAATTACCACCACAAGCGTCATAGCCACTGGAAAATGACTGAGGATGTTGAAAATATCTGGCAGTATGTGACGTATGTGGAAGGGAATGATGTGAAATCAACCGATATCGACTTGAATACGACAACTCCGAATCGGAATCAGATGAATCAAACATCGGATTCAAGAATACTTCACCCATCGTTGATGATAAGAGATACTTCAACACTGTATTAATTCCGATGAATATTTGAATGGAGAGCGGGCGCTTCAATACGATTGGTTTACGATGGTGACATTCAAGTCAGTCTGTAATGGTTGTGATGAAGATTATCGATTTGATTAACGTAGGTAAGATAGTCAATGAAGAGCGGATAATGATGATGAGGAGTAGGAGGGCAAGGAAGAAGAGGAGGAAGTGGTGGAGAATGAAGAGGATGAGATGTTAGGATACGAACACTCTGAACTGTTGGTGGTTGAACGGGCAAAAGCGCGCACGATGTCGAAGCTGGTTTCGTATCGGTGAGATCACTAGGCAAACATGAGAGAGCACACACTAGGAATAATGTGTAAAGAAGCGAAGAAAGTGGAGAATGTGCAATAAGAACAGGATGGAGCAGGAATTTAGATGATTCATAAGCGGATGATTGACATTTCGGAGAGAATTACACTATGATTAAAATCAGCTTTTATCCTATTGGTGTAAGGTTAGTAGGACAAAAATTAAAAAGAGTGAGAATGATTATCGACCATTAAAAATTGATAAACTGGCTCAAAACTGTTTACTGTTTTCACGATGAGAAAAAAACACAAAGTTATTATCAAAACATTCATTTATACATAACAGCTGATGTTACGGCGGTTTTCGACACCTTCAGAGCCTGGAGGAGTCAAAGTGATACGCATTCCACTCAGTGAAACACTTCCATAACGTAAAACTTTTTCACTCGTACAATAAACACCCTTTTCCAAAAACTCATCGTTTTGTTGTTTGTAAGTCTTCAAGTTATTAGGTGGAGAAAAGCCACAGAGAATCCTACAAAGGCGAGGAGTGTGAAAACGACTCAACGCCGTAGCTCAGGCTAACTCTTTGACCTAAGCCAGGTACATTCCTGACCCATGTAAGATTATGTCGCTGGTCGCCACCAAGAAACTGACAGAAATACAAAGAACAGGACGGCGGGTGTTTAGAGGGAGCTGCTTATTATGCGAATGACAATAATTTACGCACGAAGCTATGCATGCTGAGATTACGAAAGTGTTTAGCTGAGTAGACTGCATGTCAGTTTGACCTGCCCAGGCTCCGAATAAGGCGAAAACGCCGAAACGTCAGCTATTTTGAAGTAATAAATGATGTAATAACAATCTCGTGTTTGCTCATAAAAAAACAATGCCGTGGTAAGAAGAAAGTCGTTCATGGGATTTGACTCACAATGTTTTCAGCAAACGAAGGAATGGAATTCTTGACATCCACCTTGCTAACTAAACGAAGAGAAAACAATGAACGAGGAATTTTAGACATTGCAAGTATCGATTATCGTGAAAATTGTGGAGGAGACGTCGAAGATTGGTTAAGGATTCAACTATCCAAGTGTGCTGTCGACCGGAAAGCAAACTCCAGAGAAGAACGAATTTGAGAATATCAGCTCTTTAGATGAAGAAAACTTTGGTATGTTTGTTGAAATTAAATGAGAAAAAAAACTTGACTAATAAAGTGTTATGAAGGATAGAGAAGAATGAAGGATAAAGCGCTCCACTTTAAGCAATTCCTGGGTGATGCTTCACGTATTGAACACTATTCGTAGCATCGTTGAGGTTACTAAATATATACTTGATATGTGCAACGATATGTGGTGGTATACTGATGTATGTCAAGTCAGTGTTTTTATCCTCTCAAGGGACCGGAATCTTCTTTTGGCTGGGGCACGGAGTCGAAACGAGGATTTCTTATCCATGGTGGGGAAGCTCTAACCAGTGGACTGAACATGTACAAGCAAATAGATTGAATTAGTATTCAATGTTTGGAAACGTAATTTTCAGCATAAAACAAAAAAATGAGTCTTGGACTTGTACGTAGACCCAGGACGATTTTTGTCTGAATTAATGTAGAGTTAGAAACTGTTTCTATGACAAGATAAACAGAGGGAAACTGTACTGCAAGTACGAATTGACGAAATGATAGTTGCTATTAGAACACAGATAAGCTACGGAAGTGATCGAACTGCGTTTTCTTTGAACATATAATGAAAACAAAAAAATCAGCAAGTAATCAGACTCTTCTATCTTCAACCAATCAATTCATATATACTTCATGGAGATCGATAGCTTTGCGACTTAGTTGACGGTATAGGTGAGGAGAAGGTCAGAAAAGAAGACATTGAAGCAGATAACGAGGTGCTTCTATCGCTTAGACGACCTGTTAGCATTCTATATGCACTTCTCACGAGGTATGAATATTACATATTAGACCTAAGGCGAGACATAGTACACGGAAAGTGCAGTAGTTAGAGGTACTTTAGAGGTACTACACAACAACACCGCTTAGAGTCCTTAGTTCGTATGCACGCAATGCCGACAAAACCTTCCATTCCTTCGGGATCGGAAAAGTGGCACCAGACGTATCCAGAGAAAGCGTACTCCTATTTACAAAGGACTGTGATAACCTATGAAGATGTGCAAAACTCCACTAGACAATCTCATGGTAAAATGGAAAATCTGATCGATAAGAATTCAACAAGAATCGTGAAAAAAAACAAAGTCCTCATGGCAACCACAGCGCCGATGTGGGCGCCTCTCCAGATCAATCTCGTTGACGTGTGATTGTTAATCGCACTGATCGATAGAACAAGCTGAGAGACAGGCGAAACGAAGGACCTGCATGGTGTGGTGGTTAACGCGTTAGACCCCGGAGTGGGGTTCCTCACCGCAGACGCCTGCGATCCCGAGTTTTTCAAATATCTCGGCATCATTGTAGTTGTATTTCGCATAATACCCTGCCGTGAAAATTGTAGACGCAGAAAATAAAAGTAAACATCCTCATGGCAGTTGAAACCAAAAACTTTAACATTGACAAACGTGAAACAAGGGATTGGATGACAGAACCGTTAGACGGCCAACAATATGTGAGATCAGGTCAAATAAGAAATAATGTGAGACGCAAAAGTGTAGAGTGTAGAGTGGTAATTAGTAGAGCAGTAGGGAGAAAGCTGTGAGTGTGCAAAGAACCTACTCTATGTTCAATGAGATTGAAATCTTGGTTCAGCATTTTCTTTTGTTCGGTTAGTGAAGTGTTTCGCTGTGTAGATTGCGGTCAATTTGACCTTTCTAGACTCTGAGGAAGGTGAAATCCGCCGAAATGTCAGCTTGTTAGATAAAATAACACCTGATTTTTGCTCAACAAGAATGTAGAGAATTGATAGAATAGAAACATGAGGCATGACTGTCTTAACACTATTAGGGAATTGAATGGCCAGCAACATGTCGAGGACATACTTAATCCATTTTGGTACTAAATATTTCTTGCATATCCATTATGCAACATATCTTTCCAATGGATGATTAATCGTGATTGAAGAATTATGAGTATTGCCAAACGTGAGTAGTTCAACATTAAGCATTAGCGTTAGGCACATTATTTTTCATTTATTTTATAATAAATAAAATATTAAAGTACTGCTAATTCGATACAACGTCTTCAATGAGTGTAATAGAAGAGAAAATTTCGAAAACAAAAGAAGTTTTTTAGAAGGAAATAATGTCCCATATCGAAAATACGCCCACTTTCGATGTACACGGTGATCATCTACATCAACAATTCAAGGCAGCAATTTGGCACAACTTCTTGGAGTTCTTTAACCTAGAGTTGTTCACGTGGACATGGAAGAATTTGAAGAATTACGAATTATGGCGATGACGCAAGAGAATCCGACGAAAGCAAACAATTTGAACTACTCGTAAGCTTCAGAATGTTTTACCACTGCATACAGTACGAATAGACAAAGAAATAAAGGTTTTTCAAGAGGTACTGTGAAGGTCTGCGAGTCGTTTATCCCTTTATGACGAAGGTCTTTCCCCTTACTTCAATAAAATGAAAAAAAAACTACAATGATGCTGATATCTGCAAAATGCGGGACCGCAGGTGTTTGCGGTGGGGATCGAACT